CCCATCATGTCTCCCCTGGTCCTTCTTTCTATTAAACTAGACATACCCAGTTCCTGCAACCGTTCTTCATATGTTTTAGCCTCCAGTCCCTTAATCCTCCTTGTTGCTCTTCTCTGCACTCTTTCCAGAGTCTCAACACCTTTTTTTGCAACGTGGCAACCAAAACTGGATGCAAATATTCCAAGTGTGGCCTTACCAGGGCATTATAAAGTGGCATTAACTCTTCACCTGGTCTTGATTCTATTAGTGCAACTCTTAAAGATTGTGGAGAATATTTGTAGCTCGTAAGTTTTGGCAGGGGGTCCCTTCTGCCAGCTGGCCGTTTTGCTCCCAGGCGTTCTGTTACCAAACTGGGTGACCTCCTCAGTGGGGTTTTGGGGTGAAGCCTCTTGAGGTGGGAAACCACCTGCTCCCCCCCCCCTTGAATTCCATGCCTCAAAAGTCACCAAGTCACAAGACCAGAACCGCCCGTGCGATTCAACCAGGAGCTTCACCCCAAAACCTCACTGAAGGCGTCACCCAGTTTGGTAGTGAGATGTCCACTGGAGCAAACCAGCCAGCTTGGAGAAGGACCCCTGCCCGAAGGGTAAGTCTCATCCCGCGGGCAGTTATCCTAGGACCCCTCTGGACACTCTTCAGGGTGCCTTCAAGCAGGGAGGGGGATTTTGACCCCCTGGTATGTTCCCCGTAGGTGGTTCTCCGGCCGCAGAGCGCCTGCCAGTCGGGACGCCAGCTGGCCCTGCGGATTTTCAGCAAGGTCCGACCGCCGGTGGGCGGCATTTCCATCAAGGAACACTTAGAGGTGAGCGGGACCAAGTGCCAGGCTTCCAAATGGCACCCAAAATTAAATCAGAGTCCAAGGCAAAGGATTCCTCAAAGTTCCAATTTATGAAGAGAGCCACGTTGGCACATCTGGGGGAAACCCGAATCTGAAAGCTTCCCAGTTTCCCCCCACCCAGTTGAAAGTTCAAGATCTTGCCCCCCCCTGCCCCCCGCACCCACAAGTCCATCCCACAGTCCAATCTCCCACCCATCCAGTTCCGGTCAGGTGCAGAGATGCAAGGACAAAGGATGACCTTGGTTTTCTAGAAAGGAATTTTGTTATGACTGCATCTCATCTAACTCCCTACATTCACCCCCCTCCCGTTTCCCCACCATAGAAAAAGGCATAGTCGACTAATGGAAAGTGTGGCAGGCCAAAGACCCCCCCCCCCCAAAGAAAAGAGGGCTGTGACACCCCCGCCCCCCTTTTGCAAGCCGGGAGCCTAATCTCTGTCCCTCACCCCCCTCCCCGACCCCCAACCAGGTCAACGTGGTACCACTGACCATCCAGCTGACCCACCAGTTCTTCCACCGCATGATGGGCTTCTTCTTCCCCGGACGCAACGTGGAGGAGGAGGAGGTGGGCGACGAAGAGGACAAGTCGAAGCTGGTGACCACGGGTGAGCACAAAAGGGACCCCCCCCTCCCCCTCCCCTCCGAAGGGGCAAAAGCGAGGCCAGCCATGAGTCTCCTCCTCTGACGAGAGTTTTTCTCCCGGATGTGCAGGGATGCCGGTGGTGAAGCCGCGGCAGCTGATGGTCTCCGAAGACTCGCTGGGCTCTGGGAAGGGCCAAGGGCTGAACCGGACCTCGGGGGTCAGGCGCTCCTTCCGCAAAACACCTGAGGTAGGGACGGCTTGGTCCTCGGCCAGTCAAGGCACCCCGGAGGCACTCTGGGTTCGGAGAGTCTGTGTGTGTGTGTGTGTGTTTGTGTGTGAAGGGTCTTGCTTCCTCAGAGACCATCTAGAAGTGCCCTAGAGGGGTTGGGGGCCTGGAGGCCGCTGGGGCGAGGGCGAAGGCAGTGGGAGGTGAGGCAGCCCATCCTCAGCCACGGAGGCCCACGGGGGGGGACTTGGGGCAGTGGCTCTCCAGCCCGTCCTGCCTCGCAGGGGTGTTGGGAGGGCCTCCATGCAACCCACGGAGTCATCCAGGCGGGGGGAATGGGAGCCAGGTTGGGCCTAGCAGGTGGTCATTTCTCGGTCAAGGCTGCCCTGAATGTGGTCCGGAGGAGGCTGCCCCATCCGTCCGTCCGCCTGTCTGTCCATAAACTACACAGATAGTCCTTGACTTACGACTACAATGAAGCCCCAAATCTTGGGGCAAGGGGGGGGGGGCGGCTGGGCTGGCTGTAATGGCTCCCCTCCCCCTCCCTCCCTCCCCCCCAGTACCCGGTGGACGACATTGAGAAGATGAAGGAACGGGCGGCCATGAACAACTCCTTCATCTACATCAAGATCCCCCAGGTGCCCCTCTGCGTCAGCTACAAGGTGCGTGGGGGGGGGGGGCTGTTTCTCCAGAGGGTCTGCTGGGTTCCCCTCCCTCAGGGCACCTTGTGGCCGTGAGTCCCGCAGGGCTGCCGTTGTTGGGAGGCAGAGGGGGGCTTTCTGACTCTCCCCCACTCCCTCCGGTGGCTGCAGGGAGAGAAGAACAGCGTGGACTGGGGGGAGCTCAACCTGGTGCTGCCGTGCCTGGAGTACCACAACAACACCTGGACGTGGCTGGACTTTGCGATGGCGGTCAAGCGGGACAGCCGGAAGGCCCTGGTGGCCCAGGTAAGGGAGGCCGCGGGGACCCCAAAGCCCATCCTCCTCCAGGCCGGGCACGGAGACTGGAGAGCCACCCCCACCCCCCGCAGCTGGCAAGCTTTGCAAGGACGGCACTCTTCATGCCAGCTGTGGCCCCCCACCCCCGATACTTCTGCCTGGGCTGGGGATTATGGGAGGTGCATTACCTGGGAGGAGAAAGCAGGTGAAAGCCTGACACACCGGCTCAGCTCCCTTCTCCCCCCCCTCGCCTACCTCCTCCCCTCCCTCCCCCTTCCTTTCCTTTCTCCCCCCCACCTTCCTCCACCCTCTCCCCTTCTCTT